ATTTGGAACCCAATTTTGAAGAAATAATGTCGGATGAACATTCGAGATTTCACGTTTCGCATTAACTTTAAATATTTATTTTAACGTTTGATGTTTGTCTTTTCTTTTTTAAATTCTATTTGCTATTATATTTACGAAATGCAATATAAATGTTAAATTGTAATAACTATGTGTCAATATAAAATAATTTGTATCGTTAAGACATAAATAAGTAACAAAATAAAATCTTTCATTGACTGGTTTATCTAATAGCCATTTATTTATAATAATATTTCTTTAAAAATTACGTGACAAATTTTTTTAAAATTGAAATGATACTTAGTGTTTTTGTCAAAAAAAAATTGGCAGGGAAAAAACTCCATCCAAAACATCCGCTTGTGCAAAGCATACGCGGTATAGTCCTCCGGCCCGGGAGACATTTTGAAAATTTCATTTTGGCCCGCGCTTTAAAGTATTTGCCCACCCCTGCTGTAGAGTATTTTATTCCATGATGGTTTTGTTCTAACCATTTTGTTTGCCTTTTTGAGTTGTTGTTCAAATCATGAAATGATGTTGGCGGTTTGAACAGGAAATGCCCACTTTGTTGTCCACTTACAAATGTAACTTCTTTCGGTATAAATTCGGGAATTCTGAATCCCTGAATATCAATCACAATAAATTTCATTGTGTGTCTTTTTTTTCTTTTATCGCACACAACTATCGACCTACTACTACTGATCAAAATGATCTTCCTGTACTACAGCTCAGTACTTTATATAGGCTTATCCCACCAAACCAAAAATATTATTCTTAGCGTATGAGGTTATCATATTTGAAACCTAGGGAACGAACAAGGAGCGATAATTGCAATACAGCTGTAATACTGAAAAGTCCAAAATGGACATAAATGTGATATGAATGTTCTTCGTTAATGTTATAATTTTCGATAGAAGATACTAGCAGAGATGAATTTCCAGATGCGTTTATGCGTAATGGTTAACGAAGGTATCACTGTGTGTTTTATTACAATATACTAATTTCGATTTATATTTTACAATCTCTGTATTAGTTTGAGGAACAGAAGTCGATTCAAAAACTGGGATATCATGTTGGATTAATGGAGTGAGTCTTATCCAGTAATCTGGCCACGTACAATTGTGTTTATTCAAACAGATAAAAGCTTCGCTATTGTTGAATTTAGGATTCCGATAGATTAAAAATTTGTTGTCACTTAACAAAGAAAAAATAAGCAGACTTGTTGTAAGAAGTGTCATTTTAAGCAGACTGATGAAATTCACTGACATACACTCCTTTTTAAAACCACACATAGGTAGGGTTAAGGGTGTTTAAAAAATAAAAAAATAATAAAAAATACGAAATATATTAACAAGAATAATTTAAATGTACACCTATTTTCTTTAAGAAATTGTCATAGTATAAGTTTGTTTAAAATTTCGAGCATCGATATATTCTGGTATATATGTTGAAGCGAGTGTTGTGAGATTTTCAATTTCCCCATTACTTAAAACTCGTTGGTGTCCGAGCTCGCGATACTCGTAACATGAAATTTTTAGCTGCTGTTCCTTATAATTAGCTTCGTAGGTACATCTAATAGGTAAAATTATACCCTCAGCATATTCCAACCTAAAATGTCGAAAGTAAGGCTGTTCACTTTCAATAATACCGGCAATTTCCATTTACTTTTGAAGTAGATTTCTTCGGAAACTTTAATTGCTTCGTCTACTGTAATCAGATTCATTTGTCTTTCTATTGGTGCTTCAGTAGTAGTGGTGATTACTGATGCAAATGTTGTAGTCGTTAGAGCTTCTTCAGTAGTAGGTACTGATACAATTGTTGTAGCTGTTTCATTATCGGTTGCGCTTTTAACAAGAGCTTCAAGCTTAAAGATTGGTAAAGGTTCACTGGGTGTTAATAGTTTAAATCCTAAATTAATTTCTACGGTTTCGTTACTTGGCAATGTAACTTGGAATTTTAATCTGGATATGTTATCTTCGTCTAAGTGAATAGCCACTGTCGGAAGGGATGCTATTGTATGATATGAAACTATCAAAATGAGAAAAATGTAACAAAAAACAAATTTCATTTTTGGGAAATAGTCAGACACAGGCGAGTTTTGAAGAAACACTT